GCATTTCTAACAAACAAAGAACAATCCAAAATGGAAGAAATCCAGAGGGCAGCCTAGAACAAATACTAAACAAAACAAATCTGCAGGGAAGCAAGATAGGCTAAAGAAGATACCATTAATATACACAACTAAACATGACTGAATACATGTTTGAATTCCTAACAGTAGAGTGTACATTTAATAGCAATTACAAAATACAAAACCACTACACGAAAGTATATATATGCAGAAAGTGAATCACAAGGTGTTGTGAAGAACATTTTGACACTTCATTTAACCATTTTCTCACCAACCTCTGCAAATCATAGTTTGAGTTTTTTGCATTTTTTTTCATGCACTTAATTTTTATGGGGAATATTTTTGACCACATGTCTATGTAAAGACCACATTATTTATATTCTGCTTCTACCCCCGAGTACAACAATATCCCACCTTTGATACATGTTTGGAGGACTTGTAGGGTCACATTAGATGTCGTAATTTTCAATTTCTTCTTAGAAGAGATGCTATTTAGTGTAGTAACATTATCTTTGTCACCAAACTGACTAGCATCACACCTGGTTGCAATTTCTAACTCTAACCCTACGTAAATCTAACCCATGCTACATCACAAGCACCTGTAGGGACAGACTTCTCAAGTGCCCCATAATCCCTTGTTGAAATAAAGCAGAGGATGAGCACAGCAGCAGCATGTACATGTCAGGGCAGAGCACACATATAAAGATCTGAAAGGCAAGAGCGATGCAGAGCAAGCAAGAAAGAGGAAGTGGCACAATGCACCACCAAATCAGCTCACCATCCATGCCCACCTTTTCCTGGTTTTATAATACAGCCAGTCACACCAAGTCTCTCCCTCGCTCCGCTGGTGCTGCCTAATGCCTATCCCTCTGCCTCCAACCTCCAAGAAGATTGTCTGTGCGAGGACTGGGAGACTGGGAGTTGTAGTTTCCTGCTGAGCTAAAGGTGGGTTCTCCCTGCCCCCTGGGAGTGCAATTGAGCCCCTAGCAGGGACTACAACTTCCGGAATGCATCTGGAACGGCCGTTCCATTCCCCCTCACTCTGACTCCACAGCCAAGCGACAGCCAAGAGATCCAGAGACAGCAGCCGTTTTTAACATGTTTTAGGCAGGGCCGGTGGATACATAGACGAAGACGCATTTTTCTGTCCCCCCCCCGCCCCCCCCAACACACTCACTTGCACACACATACACTCACTAATTATTAATATTTTTATAATTAAAAAATTTCCACCCTCCCTCCCTACCTGGAGAGCTGGCATGGATCTGTCCCTGGGGTCCAGTGGGGCTGCTGTGAGGCGTGCGGTTGTGTTTGAATCAGAGGAGCCAAGGGAGCTGCGATCTCCCTGCTCTGCTCCCTTGCGGGCTGTCTACTGATGCCACGGGAGCAGAAATAGGACGTCATAATCCGGCTCCCGTGGCATCAGCAAACGGTGCACGAGGGAGATCAGAGCTCCCTCGCCACCTCAGATTCAACACAGCCACAAATCGAGCCGGAGGTCCATAAGGTGGCCTGATCACTAGAATCTTGCACCCCCAGAGCCGGTCCGCCCTATGGAGGTTACCTGTGTTGCCTTATGTATGGCACTACAGAGAGCACATAACACAAAGTAAGTCCTCCTTACCATACATATCATAGAGCATGTGTGTAGCGTTTGAACATGTGTAGCAGTGTGTGTAATTGTCTAGGTGCACGGACATTTTTAGGCGTATGTGTCAGTGTTTGCGCAGAGTATCTGTTTGCAGCAGTGTGTGTAGCAGCATGTGTATTCTGTGTGTGTAATAGTATAAATGTGAGTAGTGGCAGCATGTGCAGGTATGTGTGTGGAAAGTGAGATTAGCCGTATGTGTGTAGCAGTGTGTGAGTGGGTAACAGACATGAAACCAGGTCCTTGTATATTTATTATTTTACTGTTGAAATGTTAAATGTTACATTTTCTTTCTTAGAGGATATGTAAGGTTATATGTATTGGAAACAATATTGCTTTTTCAGCTGTTATCATGTAAGTAATCATGCATTTAGACTGGTGTAAAAAATAAAAACAAAAAACAAACCAACCCTCTCCCCCCCCCCCAAAAAAAAAATCCCTAGTACAAAGCTGAATAACTTTGATTTGATTGTGTTGTGGCTCGACAAAGACAGCTGAACATAATTTACTCTGTTTACCAGTTATACTTTTACCCTTAGACATTTCACCCTTAAAACAACTTCATCTCAATTAAATTGTTTTGGGGGCTGCAGTCCTTGGGTGCTGTGGCTGACCTGGTCCTATGTCCATTCGGTTGCTCGTTCTGCCCTGTTCATTCCCCGAAAGAGTGTCCCCCCCATTAGTTTGCCACACACTCTACCCTTTCCTGAACATAGTCTATGCGCTCTCCTTGGGTGGCCGCTGTTCAGGATGAAGCCAAAACCAAAATGGCCCAAGCGGCACTTCGTCATCAGTGCCCTGGAACCCAAATTGGCTACTCCACCTGCCTGTTCCTGGTCACCTTCTACCTTCGGTTTTGCCCTTTCCTGATCCGGTAGGACAGCATTATTTGGAGGGAAGGTACAGTGGACTGTCTTGAGCAATCGCTCCCTGAGAGCAAGGGGGAGCCCCCTTGGTTTGTCCACAGGAGCTCCCAATAACTGACCGACCGCAGAGACAATTCTCACGAAACCTTTTTTGGCCTGGATTTTGGGCAGCAGTCGGTCAGAACTTTACCCCGTTGGCAATTTGGCTCCACTGGATGGACAACTTAGGCGCTCAGATGCGTGCTATCCGGGGATATAATTTGTGTGGGGTTTCCTGTTCATTTTATTATGTTTTTGGGGTGCCTTATATTTGTAACCTCTGTGCCTGGGAGATAATTATGTTAATCGGTATCTGTCCAATCCATCTCCCAGACACAGAAGTGCCAAGGCGGGCTTACACTGTAACTGTGTGGAGACCCCACACTAGGGGTCTGGGTATAAAAGACCTTGCCTGTGAATAAAAATGCATTGTACTCTCAGAATGTGTGTCGTCCCGTTACTGGGATGGAAAGAGCTATTCATTATTCAGCACCTTGTTACAGCTCGTTGCCAGTAACAGGTTGAGAGCATCAATATGTAAGTCAGTAAGATGACATTGTTTTGAGGGTGGAAAGTCTAACTGGTAAAAAAAAAAAAAAAAAAATTACAAAATTTTTTTCTCAATTTGTAGAAAATTCAGCCACAGAATTAAAAAGAACTACTTAAACTAAAAAGTGGTCGACTGGGTTATAAGAAAGGCTTAATCCTGATTTGAATATACCTACTGATAAAGAAAAGCCCTACCGAAAGGCTTGGCTTCCATAATTAACGCTAAAAACCTATCACTTTTAATTGTATTTAAGAAGTATAAAGAAAAGGGGGAAAAAACAACAACAAAATAACAAAACAAAAAAACAAAACAAAACTAACACCAGAATCAGTGATAATGTGAATTTTTGTTTATAGTGTAATATACTTGAAGAAAAAAAAAAGAAAAAGAAAATAAACAGCAACTATTCTCAATAGATGATAGAAATCAAGAGAGTTTGCATCCACTTAGATCGGGGGAATCTGGAATGGCTAATGAACTGTAAATTTTATAACATGACAGGAGGCTTCATATTTGCTTAAGTCTCTCTTTACTAGAACTCCACAGCAGCAAAACACCAGAGAGTAAACAACCAACCAGAAAACAGTAAGGAGACTATATAAGTCCCTTCCCAACATTCCATTTCCTCTTTCTTTGCTGCTCCGCATCAGTACAGGTCAGAGTACCACTGCCTCCTGCTAATATTAGTTGGTGGCTTTGTGTTTTTCTCTTTTATATGCTGTGTTGTTATTTATTATATATATTTTGTCTGGGGACTGTTTTTCTAGCAGGGATTCTTGACTAACCCTTTTGTAGGGGTTAGTGTTGGTTTCTTCTCCCTCCCTTGGGGCCTTATTCCCCTTCCCTGTCCCCTCTCTTATTCCGTTTCTTTCCTCCTGCAGGGATTTCTCTCTGGGCTCGGGGGCCTCGTGGGGCTGGTCGTTTGCCGCCTCCCCCGACCCTCGGGACCGCGGAGTACGTCTCCAGCGGTCCCGCCTTATTTTTTCTGCCTCTGGTCGTGGGGCGCTCACCTACAAGCGCTGTACCGCCGACCGGAGCCTCCTCCACGTGGCCGCTGTTCACGGCTGTGATCTCGCGGACCGCGTGTGTCCGCCGAGTGGAGGAGGGAGCACTACTCTCACGCTCCCTCCCCCTACCCGTTCTCATACTTACTGCTGTCAGCATCCTCCAAGGGGTTCCCCAGCCGTTTAGACCGCGCTTTGGGAACCCCCTGTGTTGATTAGCTCCTATAGGTGTCCCTAGTATCTGTAGGTGGGAATAGGAGGTCTAATCCCACCAGGGGCATACTTTTGACTTTTTCAGATCAGTTATTTCTAGTTATGTTTTAGTCCCATTTACTGTGGGGTACACATTTTCTGTGCTTTCCGTCCCCTACTGGGAAAGGGGTTACCCCAGTTTCAGACCTTGCTGGGTTGCACATATGGAGGGGATTTTTTTTCTCACTGCATGCATGCCTTCATTAACCCCTTCTACACTGGTTACCTCCTATAAGTGACCCTTACACTCACAGTGTGTCTGGCCTGCTTTGTCTGTGCCCCTATGCTTGGCCTGTTTTGTCTGTGCCCTTAACATTGGCCTGCTTTATCTGTGCCCTTATGACTGGCCTGTTGTGTCTGAGCCCATAAGATTGGCCTACTTTGTCTGTGCCCCTATGACTGGCCTGCTTTGTCTGTGCCCATAAGATTGGCCTGCTTCGTCTGTGCCCCTATGACTGGCTTGCTTTGTCTGTGCCCCTATGACTGGCTTGCTTTGTCTGTGCCCATAAGATTGGCTTGCTTTGTCTGTGCCCATAAGATTGACGGGCTTCAACTGTGCCCATATATATTTGGCCTATGCTGCCTGTGTCCTCCATCTGACCTGCCCTGACAGTGCCTTTCCTATGCTGGCACTTACTCACGCCTAGAACCCTTACGGCTGCTGGCCTAGTAGATTATACAGGAGTTTCTACTGGGGTCTTCTATAATACTTGTGTCCGTATACATTACTCCCGTATAACCGGGTGACACGTGACTACTCCCAGGGTCACACTAAGGTCAGGATGGACGCTCCTACCCAAGAGAGCCTACAGGCTATGATCAACGCGGCCGTTGCCGCTTTGGTGGAGAAAGCGATCTCGCGCACACTGCCTAGACCGTCCCAAGATAGGGATGTATCGGAGACTCAGCGCGTGCTGATAGAATCCGATCCCGACTCTCCGGGTAGAGAACAGACACGCCCCCCAAACGCTACTGGAAGGGTGAAGGTCCGGAGCGGAGTTTCCGGAAGGGTAAGGCTCCTGCAAAAAGGCTTAAGCGGGCGACCGCCTCACCTCCAACGCACTCCCGATACCTCCCTGAAGAGGAGGAAGAGTTCACCCTGCCCGCACCCCTGTCCGTACTGGATGAATGGCGGGCAGATCAATCCCCCTCAAAGGACGAAGGGGGTTGGGGCGAGGAAGATCCGGAGGAATCGGCATACCGGCAGGACGCTGATGTGGATACCTTGCTACAACTACACCCCTCCCTCAGGGAGGACGCCTTCCTGGACTCATCAGGCAAACCTTTATTTGACCCTCGCACCATCCAGCACCCCAGGTCTCCTGAGTGGTCCCTACCCTTCCACCTGGCCCAGTTTGTGCATTATTGGGTTCGCAGACCCCTCGATTGGGCAGTGTGGAAGAGGCTCAGGGCTGAGTGCCCTAGACCCACATTGCCGGACAAGGTCGCTATGACGCCCGAGATCGACACGATGGTCTCCACCTATTTGACCCGTACCGGGCGCGATCCCAAGAAGGGGATCGAACGCAATCTCCGCCTGGCACAAGATAAGGTGACACGGATCCTTACCTTGGCGGACGAGGCTGTTTCCCAGGGCTCCCCCCTGGACACTGCAGCCGTAAGAGATTGGGCATTGCGCTCCCTTTGCCTGCTGGGCAACTCTAACGTAGCTTTGTGCATGGAGCGGAGGAAGGCGGTCCTCATGTGCATGGATGCCAAATTATCGGAGTTGGGTTCCAAGGAACTGGGACCGTTAGCCAAAGGTCTACTTTTTGGAGAACCCTTCATCAAGGAGCTCCAAAGGCACGTCAACCTCTATGCCTCCCTGAATAAAGCCCAATCTTCGATGAGGAGGGTGTTCCGCACTAACACCTCTCGTGTTTTTGGCAGGGCTAGAAGGCAGCGGGGTCGTGCCTCCAGCCGTTTCTGGCCATCGAGTCACTGAGGATCCCGACCACCATCCTTCTTCCCCAGCTACTACTCTGGATCCTTTAACTCCCAGAGGTCGTACCGTGGCAGAGGGAACTGGACACGCGGTAGAGGCAGAATGCCCGCAGGTGAGACATGTTACACCCCATGTTTCCCCCAGTCTGTTACATGCCGGCAGGTTACATTTTTGTCTCGACAGGTGGCGGGACATCTCTTCGGATGCTTGGATACTCCAAACTGTCCGAGGTTACGTTATAGACTTCCATTCACCCCCAATCCAAGAGGTGGTCCCCTCGGCTCCAGTATCATCAAGGGCTCTGCAAGTCCTGATAGACGCTGAAATACAGGCTCTGTTCGACAAAGGGGCAGTTCAGTGGGCCCCCGCACGACGGGGGCTTCTTCAGCTCGATTTTCCTAGTCAGGAAAAAGACAGGAGATTTCCGCCCGGTCATAAATCCGAGGAACCTAAACGCCTTCGTTTCCTACCAACACTTCAAGATGGAAGGCATCCATCTTTTAAGAGACTTACTTCATCCAGGAGATTGGTTCACTCGTCTAGACCTGAAGGACGCATACCTCTCCGTACCGGTGGAACCCGATTGACGACGATTCTTAAGTTTCATCTGGAAAGGGAGGCCATGCCAATTCACATGCCTACCCTTCGGCCTCAGCTCGGCACCTTGGTGTTTCACCAAACTGCTGAAACCAATAACAGCATGCCTGCGCTCCAGGGGCATTCGGTGCCTGATTTACCTGGATGATTTGCTTCTCTTCTGCGAGGACTCCTCCAGACTGAAATCTCAGACGCACTTCGCGGTCTCCTTGTTCGAATCCCTGGGGTTTGTGGCCAACCAAGGGAAGTCGGCCCTCACACCGATGCAGGTGGTTCAATTTTTGGGGTTCGAGATAGATGAGACTCAGTGCATCCTACGTCTCCCCCAAGCAAAAATCTCAGCAATTCGGAAAGAGATCCGACGGATTCTCCGTCAGGAGACGATCCCACTCCAGGTCCTGGCACGGGTGGTAGGTCTATTGTCCGGTTCGATCCAAGCCATTTACCCAGGTCCCCTTCACTACAGGGCCATGCAACGCCTGAAGGCACGTTTCCTCCACAGGAAACCCTCATACGACCAACTGATCACCATCACACAGGAAGTCAAGACCGAACTTGGTTGGTGGCTGTTGCATATGTCAGCCTGGAACGGCAAGGCGATTTTCGGCCCGACCCCAGACTTTGTCCTGGAATCGGATGCAAGCCTATGGGGCTGGGGAGCGACCTGCGCGACTGCCTCCACGGGAGGTCCCTGGTCAAGCACGGAAACAGGTTACCATATCAACTGTCTGGAAATGATTGTGGGCTCATTCGCGATACGGAGCCTGGCGGGTCATCTGTCGGATTGCTGCATCCTGCTGAGAATGGACAAGGTGTCAGCAGTACAATATATAAACCGCCTGGGAGGAGCACGCTCACGGGCACTGACGGAAGTGACGAAGGAGATTTACAATCTCTGCCTTCAACGCAATATCACTCTACAGGCGGAATATCTTCCAGGTGTGTCGAACCTGATGGCAGACTGGTTTTCTAGGCACTGGAGGGATGCCAGCGACTGGCGTCTCCATCGACCAGTATTTCTCGAAGTGGCACGACGGAGGGGCCCATTCACAGTGGATCTGTTCGCTTCCAGGATGAACTTCCAGATCTCGAATTACTTCAGATGGCTCCCGGATCCAATCTGTGCGGCAGTGGATGCCTTTCTTCAGGACTGGCTGGCACAGGGAGCCTATGCATTTCCACCATTCATTATGCTCTCTAGGATCCTTCGCCAAGTACGACGTCAACAGACATCGTTGGTGTTACTGACACCTCTTTGGCAAGGCCAGGCTTGGTTCCCAGAACTACTTGAGCTGTCATATCGAGACCTGCTCCTTCTCCCGTCTCCGCCATTTCTCCTGTTGGATTCTCAGGGCAACCATCACCCCCTCGTGCTGGAGGGCCATCTTCACTTGGTGGCTTGGACTCTTTCCGGGGGAAAATGGAATGTCGATGAGCTATCGGGAACGGCTAAAAGCCTCCTCTGGGACTCATGGGCCCCAGGAACGAGGAGATGTTATCTATCCGCATGGAACATATGGTGTCGTTGGTGCATGGAGCGGAGTATGGATCCCTTTACAGCACCTGTATCCAGTGTACTGAATTTCCTTTCCTACCTCTTCAATCAAGGGAGGTCATATTGCTTGGTTAACGTTGCCAGATCGGCCATTTCAGCGGCTCATGTTCCTCTTCAGGGGACGCCCATTGGTCAAGATCCTTTGGTTTGTAGACTATTGCGAGGAATCAGACTGTCACGTCCACCGGCTCCTAAGTATACATCACTCTGGGATGTGCACAGAGTTTTGGATTTTATTCAGGCGTGGCCGGAGAATCAGGACCTTTCTCTACGACAGTTATCGGCCAAATTCACACTTCTCTTATGCCTGGTATCGTTTCGTCGGGTCTCCGACGTTGGGGCTTTTGATGTTAACGCATTCACCTTTTCTCCGGATGGGGTGACCTTTGCGGTGTCGAGACGTACCAAATCTGACTCCTCTGCCATTTTCTACCCCTTTTTTCGAGAGGCTCCTAAGCTCTGTGTGGTTTCTGCTCTGTCTCGTTATGTGGCTGTTACAACCCCACTTCGAAGTTCACTATCAAGACAACTGTTGATATCTTACGTCCGACCACATAAACCGGTGTCTACCATTACCCTGGCTTGTTGGATCAGATGGCTCTTTTCGTTGGCCGGCGTGGACTCCGCTTTCGGCGCTCATTCGGTAAGGGGCGCGGTGGCATCAGGAGCCCTGGTAGCAGGTGCTTCCCTGGCCAATATTCTACGTTCAGCGGACTGGTCTCGAGAAGACACATTTCGACAGTTTTATTTCAGGCCTACAGAACATGCAGCCTTTGCCCTTCTGGCTGAGCGTTGAAACTGCAAATATGAAGCCTCCTGTCATGTTATAAAATTGTAG